TTTCTTATGTGGAGATCAGGGATATGTACAAGCTTGTAATTAACACGCTAAAAAGGAAAAGATTTTTTTTGAACTGCATAGCCTTGTAAATAGTGAAGTGAGACTGATGGCCTCATTAATAAGGGCTCATATACAACAGTGCCATAATTAAAAAATGTGAATTGATGCTCCTTTTTCTTTATTCAAACATGAGGTATAAATATAGAAGGAACAAATAATTCAGATTCTCTCAGTAATGGAAACATTATTGTGTTAGTTACGTTTTTCTTTGCAAAGGTCGTTTGCCTGGAAATCAGTGAAAAAACAGTTGCTTTCTATAACGTGTTCCTCTAAAACCTACTGTATTTCTGTGGAAGGTCTGCAATTTCTGACCCCACACCCCAGAGATTGTGCTAGAATGCCCACCAGCAGCAGGCTGTAGGACTTCAAAGACCTTGCCTGTAGAGGTCAAACTTTCTGCAGACTCTGTGACCATGGTCAACAAGGCTGTTCCCCCAGCTCTGACTGGGCTCTGTTGCCATTTGGGGGACCAGCTGCCCAGCCCCAGGGCAAATTAAATGTCCTTAATGAACCAACACTTGGGTATTTCCAAAGGCTGCCCCAGCTGATTCTTGTTGTATTTAGAAAAATCTAGGTCAGCATGAAAGAGAGGCAAAGCAAGGCAACATGTGATTCTGAGAGAGGTTTTTCATCACTCCCTTGCAAAAATGAGCTACAGCCCTTAAGGCTTTAGAAATGGTTCTTGGAAACAGATGGAAGGCATCTCATTGCCTGTTCGGACCTGGCAAAGTTTCTGAGCTGATGCTGCATTTCTGACCCAGCTTCTCATCAACGGCGCTTGATTTGAGCAGTCGTTTGCCAAACACGCTGATCTGGATTACTCGCCTTACTTTAAGAAGTGCATTACGCTCATTCCCATATATTCCCGTATATTATGATTTAAAGGTGCAAATGGATCTGGGTAGTTTCTTTGTGTTTTCTCCTGCAACAAAGTTACCAAGCAATCAAAGCATAAAAACACTGTTGTAAGTGATGTGGCTATTTGTGACTTGTATAAATTATTTCCCTTGATCACTCAATGCAGGTCAAATAAATGGTGACTTATTTTTGTATATACCTAGAAAAAAACAAGCTTTAAATTGCTGCTTTAAATTTTCTCGGCGTCTACTTTACATTATTAGCATAAAGCATACCCAGTTTTGCCCATAGGCTTTCATAGCAAGGGTTTTTTTTCTTATGTTTCCAATTTGAAAGGGATGGCTAAACAGTATTTATCTCTCTTCAGTACTGTCAACAGCCTAGTTGGCAGAAATACCCATCCAGAAATTCACCTTTCTTAATGTCCGATTAGCTTTTTCGGTGCTTTACCTTCTTGTTTTGCGGTGCTTTTTAATATTAAAAAGCCCTTCTGTAAGCTTCATTTGGTTTTCCTTTTGGTGGGACGTAACACTTTGAAACTTTTTCTTTTCTTACAGTGAAGTACTAACATTTGCAAGTGGTTTCTTTTGGCAGGCTGGGTGGTTTGGGTGTTGATGTGGGAGATGGTTTGACACTCAGCCTAGCCTTTGCGCTGCTGTAAGAACGTAAGGGTGCGCTTCTGTTGCTCTCCCCTTTTGCTGTGGAAAGGGTATTTTGATTGCAGTGGAAAGAATTGCTCTAGGTGATTAAGAGTAATCCTTTATTGTCGCCTTTATTGTGGCTACTAGGATAGCCTGGAGAAGGGCTTATGCCTGGTGTAACCAAGGCTGTTTCCAGAGCACCAGTTACCAGCCACAAATGTACGTCTCTACGGGCTTAGTGAGCCGTTGACCTGGATTCATGCTTCTGCAGGCTTTTTTTCACTAATAATTTTGTGAAGTGTTACGGTATGTTTATCTTGCTGTGATGTTAGGGACACTGTAAACAAATATTCAGAAACGGTATCTTAATGTTATTTTGAATCTTGTCATTCAGCGGGTTTCTTTCTTTTCCTCGATGCTATTTTATGTCAAAAGCGAGTCTGCATTGCTTATCCCATGCTTCTTGGATTTTGAGTCGGGGATTTCGTGGGCTTCAAAAACATTAGAAAATGGGCATCTGTGCTGCTTACAGCTGTGGGACAGAGGCTGAGAATAAATGTTTTTTGTTTTTTATTTTGTTTAAAACAAGTGGAAAAACTGACTGCTGCCAAGCAAGGGTAGGTGGTGTGGTTTAACCTGGCAGGCAGGTGAAGACCACACAGCTGCTCACTCACTCTCCCTCCCTCCTCCAGGGGGATGAGGGAGAGAATTGGGGGGAAAAAAAAAAGTAAAACACATGGGTTGAGATAAAGACAGTTTAATGAAACAGCAGAGGATAATGATAATAATAATGGTAAGAGAATATACAAAACAATTGCTCACCACTCGCTGACCAATGCCCAGCCCGTCCCTGAGCAGTGATCGCTGCCCCCTGGCCAACTCCCCCAGTTTATATACTGGGCATGACATCATATGGTATGGAACAGCCCTCGGGCCAGTTGGGGTCAGCTGTCCTGGCTGTGCCCCCTCCCAGCTCCTTATGCCCCCGGCAGGGGAAGCTGAAAAAGTGCTTGACTTAGTATAAACACTACTTAGCAACAACTAAACCATCAGGGTGTTACCAACATTCTTATCCTAAATCCAATCCACAGCAGCACTATGCCAGCTACTAGGGAGAAAATTGACTCTGTCCCAGCAGAAACCAGGACAGTAGGGAAGAGAAAATGTTTAAAGGTAGATGCATACAATGTAGTTGCATTTCTAGAAAGTTTGAGTGATGCCCAACAACTTCCAAACAGAGCTGCTCAGATCAGTCAAGCTAAAAAAAAAAAAAACAAAACCAAAACAAGAAAAAAAACCACCTTATCTTTGCCAAAAAAAAAAAACCAAACAAAAAAAACCCAAAACAAAACAAGAAAAAAACCCACCTTATCATTGCTTCTCTAGAAAGAAGCCCTTCTAATTAATTTGAGTCTAACAGCAAGCTGTTAGCTTCTCAAAGCTGTGATTTATCTACAGCCCTCATAGAAGGGCTGTGAAAGCTGTGATGGTGAGCATCATGCGTGCTTGGTGTGCAGACTGGCGGTGGGAGGGGAAGCTAGCGTAGTAATTTTTCCTTATTTACAGCTCCACTGATGGAAGGTGAATAGTGGCAAACAGGGACAAAAATACCTATTAAGAAGAAAAGAAGTCTTTTACCACCTTTCCGAAGTCTTTAACTAGCCTTGGTGGTGGTGTTACGCCTTTTCCTTTGAATGAGAACATTATCAAAGAAATGTTGAACCAAAGTTATTCCTTTTATCCTTTCACATTCTTAAGTTAATGCTCATTAAGCACACAATTAGAATTCATCTTGAAACACAAAGTATTACACCGAGACATGTTTTAGTGCCGTGAAGTTTTTTTGGCTTTTTTTGGTAGAGACAAGTCACATCCATACCTTGCCCTGATAAAAATACTAGACTTCTGCAGGACTTAAGTCTGGAAAGCGCATAGCCAGCTGATCCTGTATGTTCCAACTGTGAACACTGGTATTGGTGTAAAGATGATGCCTATATATTTTGTAGACAATTATTTCCAGGATAAATTAAAACAAAGAACAACTTCACTCTTTTAAAAATCTTTATTCCAGAGTAACAGATTAAGATAAAAGGTTACACAGTAAAACATAGCATAGGCTCTTGATGTTCCTGTTGGATTTCTAGCCACTAAACATGAGTTTCTACCTCTCTACAAAACATTAATGTTATCAGTTCACCATTTATAAAACCAAAACAAACCACCATTTCAAACCCTTCAGTTCTCCATGCTTTTAGTACCCACTGAAAAGCAAAAACTTTATGCACCTGTGCTTGAATAAGACTTCTCCATCAAAAGTGTTATAGTCTGTAGGTACTGCATAAGGCCTAAGTTTGTTACTGCCTCATGGAGCTCTTTGTTAGAGGAAGAACAATCTTTTCTTGTCCTTTCTTCCAAAACAGTAGCACCACGGGTGGTGTGGTAAAATTTCTCCCCACACCATAGTTACTATTTTAAATAGTTATTACTTTCAAAAGTGCTAAAACAAGACAGGCTAAATTCTTGTTCAAATATTCAAAAGTAAAAGACAGTATGATAAGAGGCTTGCTACACATACAGGAAGTACTCTGAAGGTGCTTAAGATGGTCTCTCAACCATAGATTTCAGGACATTGCACCCAGGAAACAGTGGTGTATGTTTACTCACTACATCTAATTTAATTCACAAATATAAAATTTTCAGCTAGGTTTTGGAATGCTAATTTATTTTTTTCTTGGATAACAAATTACTTTTTGAAAAAGCTGCCCTCAAAGCTACAGGATCACTATTTTATGCTCTACTAGCTCAAAGATTAAAATCTTCATTCAAAAGATGTGGTCATGCTGCATGAAATTTAAGGCACATGCATTAAACAAAGTTAGAATGGCTTGTGTACCCAAGCTCATCACCACACCTCAACCTGAACTGAGACTTGGTCTTCTTAACGTGCCTGCAGCAATAGCGGTTTGTCCTTTGTGGAAGAAAATAAGTTGACAAAACAAAGTACAAAGACCAGGCTCTAATAACAACAACAACAAAGCCAGTAAAATTTCCTGTAGCAAAACTATAGTTAAATTTAAATTCTATCACAAAACAGGTGCAAGTTGCCTTGTGGTGTAAATAACTCTCCCTGTTGTAGAAGAAAAATTCCTCCACATGGAACAGTAATCTATCAACCACTACTACCAGTTGTCAGGGACTTTTCAATGACAATCACAGTATACAAGCTATGTGAAAAACCGCAGAGGAGCAACTTTTGGCTTCTTGCATAATAAATGGGATTAAACTTTGGCAGTGCCAAGACCGAAGGGCTGAATTTCTACTGAACTATCCACAGGGCCCTGTGAATTATAGTTGTCTTTTTTAGTAAGAGAACAGTTACTTGGGTAGAAGGGCACTGCATCATGTAGCAG